GCTCATATCACCCCATTACCGGTAGGCGGCCTTTAAAAAAAAAAAAAGAGAGAAAGAAGGGAAGAAGAAGGTGAAGGAAGGGGAAGAAAGAGACAACGGTGGCGAAGGTGAAGGTGCCGGCAGCCATAGCCGAGGTGGAGAGTTGACCAGAGGGTTGACTGGGCGTTGACCGGAGGGTTGACGAGGGTGTTGACCGGGGTCTTACCGTGTTGACCAAGGAGTTGACCAGTGCCGTTGACCAAGACTTTGACCAAGCTGGAGTTGGTAACATCTCGCCAAGCCCTTAGCCTATCCCCTCGCCCTGTGGATGTGCACTCACCCTACGGTACTTGCTGAGTCTGAGTCTGTCTGTCTCTTCTTTCTGCATCGAGTCCCTTCTGTCCTAGGTGATAGCACTCTGTGGATGAAGGATAGTGCTTGGATGACGAAACCCTAGGCTGACCTTGTAGGGCTGAGACTGTGGCTGATCCAACTTTCGAGGGGGGCATAACCCTCCCAAGGACTGGTGCTGACCGACTGGAAACGGTTGGTAGGACTCAGTGGGCCTGAACGACAGTTAGGGCTGACACACCAGGTAGTCTTTAAGTGTTGAGGGCCTGTTTGAACCAGTCCCCTACCGGACCAAGTAAGGCTAAGGATCTGTGTCTGACGACTCGACTGTCCCGGGGGATACGAACCCTCCCAAGGACCGGTACAGACCGACGGGCTGCTCGGTGTGGCACAGTAGGCCGGAAAGGCTGAGTTGTGGGCTGAAAGCACAAGCAGAACCAAGCTGATCACGTCGTCCTGTCTGCGACGTTAAAGAATTCTTGCGGAGTTAGGGGGATCTCCTTAAATGCCTCCAGATCAGCCTCTGGTTCTGTAGTGACAACCTTAGAATAGGTCTAGGCTAGTGACTATAGCTGACAGGGTTCTACCCTGTGGTCCTTAGAGAGTCTGTCAGTGAGTCTACGGGTTGGTCTACGTGGTGAGGAGTGGGACTGTCCTATCGTGCACCTGACACCATGGACGATTACCCGATGTATGGTTTACTTGTTGGGTTCTTCCTCTGGGGGACCCTCTGGCGTCTCCTCTTTCCCCTGGGGTTTTGGCACACGTTCACGTGTAGAGTAGATACCCGGGGTGGTGCCTCTACTAAGCCCTATACGAAGGAAGAGGAGGAAAAGATGGCTGCCATACTGAAGGAGAGGCAGGAGAAGAAAAAGGCCAAGAAAAAGGGTCTGATGGAGGCACAGGCGGCGAAGCTGAAGAAGATAGAGGAGGAGATGGCCAGAGAAACGGAAAGATTGAAAAAAGAAGAAGAGGAGAAACTAAAAGAGGTGGAAGAGGAAGAGGAGGAAGATGAGCAGCCACTGGAAAGGAGGAGAGAGCAACGAGGGCAGTACAGTGGCAACAAAAATGATGAAATGGAGAAGAGGATTTCGGAATGGGTTGCCAACTTGTCTTTGGGAGAAGAGGAGGAGGTAGCCATGTATATCCCCAAGGACGAGCAGGAGGCCGCCGTGAAGGAATGGGATGCAGAAAGAGATGCTTTGAAGCGGCAGGCGGTGGAAGATGAGAAGAGAATGGAATGGAAGTTAAGGATGATGAGGGAGAAGAAAAAGAGGGTGGATGTAGCAAGTGAAGCGGTCAAAGAGTTAGAGGTGCAAAAAGTGACTCTACAGTTGACCCCTCGAGTAGATCTCCAACGAAAGGTAGAGATCATTGCCCAGAGTGTCGAGCGCTTGGCCCGAGTACAGGAGGAACAATATGAGTTTAGTAGAAGTCAAGACATGGCTGTGCGCTCGATGCGACTGGGATTTTGGGATTTTGCCCGCGAGTTGGTAGGAGCAGTTGGGGCCGAGGTGAACCATCGCCTCGAGAAGACCGAACGATTTTGCGTTGGCGCCATTGAAGGCGTCAAGGCGACAGCTCCCAAGGAGGAAGAGGCACGTCCTCGTAGGGAGCAGTCAAGGTCAAGTCTCCTGATTCCTACAGTGGAAAGAGGGAAAAAAACTTTGACAATTGGGAGGCCAATGTCAAGACCTATGTACATTTGCAACAAGTCTCCCCGGATCAGCACACCTTGATTGCGATCCATGCGCTTAGAGATGAGGCTGCATGTTTCGCAAAGTCCCTAGTCCACTCTGCCAACTGCAATGATGATGCAGTTGCTTACTCGTCATTCACCCCCCTTGTAGATTTCATGAAGTTGTTGCGCGAGCGATTCGCTGATGTCGCCCGCAGTGTTAAAGCCTCATATAGGCTTCAGACCATCCATTCTCGTCAATGGAAGAGTGCCAGGGCACTCAAGGGTGTTATGGACGAATGGGTAGCAGTTCCTGACCACGGGGTCACAGAGACCCAGTTGGTCAACCTCTTCTACAGGGCCATGCCCGAATCGCTGCATGGCCACTTCTTTGCGAAGAGTCAAGATCCTGCTATGACGTACGATGCACTCAGCAGGGAAGTGGTGGCCTTTGAGGGAAAGTGTGTGTCAGTTTCCACTTTCTGGCACAAAGACGTGGACAAAGGAAAGAAGTGGAAGGGTCGCACTATCTCAGGACAAGTTAAGACCAAGGATAGTCTTGTCCTTACTTTAGACGAAGGTAGTGTTGACGAGATCCCCTACGATCAGATAGAGTGGGGGTTAGAAGATGAGGACATTGGGGCAAGTCAAGGGAGGACTTATGCTGTTGTCGCGGTTGGAGGGAGGCCGGAAGGAGGAGGACGAGGCCAGTGCCAAGGGGGCCGGGCCTCAGGGGGCCGATTTCAGGGCAATCAGGGGGTTGGCGGCAGAGGAGGAAACCGCCAAGCGGGAGGAAGGGGTCAAGGTCCCCCGCAAAATCGTTCTGGGAATAGGTCTCCGTATAGGAGAGGTGGATGGCACCCAGGGCTGCCGCAGGGTAAGCCTTGGGAAGATTCGGGTCTGGACCAGGGCTTATGGCAACAGCGTGTGGACCGGGGCCAGTGCATTTACTGTGGTGACCCGGGCCACATTATTAAATATTGTCCTAAGTATAGAGAGGCCCGATCGGCTACTCAAGGGCCAAAAGGAAGCCGCCGGTAGGGGTAGCAACTGCCCCTACCATTAGGCCATGTGGGGAAATTAGCGCTAGCCGGCAGGAGACTCCCACACCACATGAGCCTATGGGAGAGGTTGCAGGCCGGTGTCTAAGTAGCTGTCCAGAGACTGCTTGTGTTAGGGTCTCCTTAGACACCTCCCTCACAAGCGTGGCTGAGGAATTAAGGAGAGGATGCCCGCCTGGGCCAAGATGAAAAAGGAACAGAAAGGACAACTTATATTAGTAGATGTAGAGATTTTCAGAGGCAGAGTAGGGGCCCTAGTAGATTCAGGGGCCACCCGCAACTATATCAGTAAGAAAGCGCTGCAAAAGTTGAAGCTGGGACTTAAAGTCCAGAAACTAGCAGACCCCATAGTTAGTATCCTCGCAGACAACCGTACGATGGTTGTAGAGGATTATGTAGAGGGAGTTCAGGCGTATTTCCGCCTAGAGAAAGATGGGAGAGGGGAGAAGGTCCTCCATTCCCTGACTCTCCTCGTAGAAGACAGCCTCCCATTCGATATTGTCCTGGGAATGGATTGGGGAGAGGCAGCCGGGGCCACACTCCATTTGAAAGAGCACGAGTGTAGGCTCCCTAGCCCTTCAGGCGAGGCTAAGACCGCCCGCCTGTTTCATGTGTCCGGAGTAGAGAACCCCCTGGCACATTGCTGCCTTAGTGCTCCTGCGATCGCAAGATTAGTGAAAAAAGAGCAACTGGAGGAACAGGTCTTTGTTGCCTATGGTAGGCCAGTGATCGAGTCTAAGGAGGAGGAGCTTATAGACCCTGCTATTGCCAAACTGCTGGAGGAATTTAAAGACTTAGCTGAGCCGCCGTTAGGTGTAGTACCATGGCCCATCCAGCATTGCATTGAGATAGAGCCTAGCAGTAAAACTCCTAAGGGCGTTGTGTACAGGATGTCCCCGCGGGAGTTAAAGGAACTTCGCAAGCAGTTAGACGAGCTCCTTGAGAAGGGTTGGATTAGGCCCAGTTCGTCTCCATTTGGAGCACCTGTTCTCTTTGTCCCCAAGAAAGAGGGAGAGCTGAGAATGTGTATAGACTATAGAGGTCTGAATGCTATTACGGTAAAGAATGCTGAGCCACTACCTAGGATAGACGATCTCTTAGATCGAGTGCAGGGGGCCAAGTATTTCTCTAACATAGATTTGAAGTCCGGATATCACCAGATAGAGTTTCACCCTGATGATCAGTATAAGACAGGCTTCCGGACTAAATATGGGCACTATGAGTTCATAGTGATGCCCTTTGGACTAACCAATGCGCCACCAACGTTCCAGCGCTGTATGAAGGATTTGTTTAGGCCATGGTTAGATATATTTGTTATTGTCTACTTAGAGGATATCTTAGTGTTTAGCAAGACCCTCCAAGAGCATCAGGGTTATCTCAGGCAGGTCTTGGAGAAACTGAGAGAAGCTAACTTCAAGATCAACGCGAAGAAGTGCGATTGGGCGAAGACCCAAGTTTTATATTTAGGCCACGTCTTAGACGGAGACGGCGTTAAGCCAGAGCATTGCAAAATCGCAGCGATTAGAGATTGGCCCACACCGCGTACGCTGACAGAGTTGCGGTCGTTCGTGGGCTTAGCCAACTACTATAGGAAGTTCGTGAGGAACTTCTCCACTATCGCTGCGCCCCTTCGCAGATTATTGAGGAAAGAAACCATCTGGAAGTGGGATAAGGACTGCACGTCTGCCATGAAGAAATTGAAGCAAGCATTGATAGAGTACCCAGTCCTTAAGGTGGCCGATCCGTCCCTACCCTTTGTCGTCACTACGGACGCCAGCCAGTACGACATAGGTGTTGTCTTGCAGCAAGACAATGGCAATGGTTATAGACCCGTAGAGTTCATGTCTGCTAGGATGCCTTCAGAAAAGGTAGCGACATCGACTTATGAGCGAGAACTCTACGCTCTCAGGCAAGCATTAGACCACTGGAAGCACTACTTGCTTGGGAGGCACTTCAAAGTCTATTCAGATCATGAGACGCTGAGATGGTTAAAGACCCAGGCCGAGATGACACCTAAGCTTACTAGGTGGGCCACTGAGATAGATCAGTATGATTTTGAGCTCAAGCCACTAAAAGGGAAGTATAACGTAGTTGCGGATGCTCTGAGTAGGAGAGCGGACTACTTTGGAGCAATAGTTCACTATCTGGACATAGGGAAGTACCTGCAGCAAAAGGTTAGAGAAGCGTACGCGCAGGACCCTATCTATAGTGACCTTTTTAAGAAAGTAAAGGAGGCCCCAGAGACCGAGCCAGATTACCGCACTACAGAGGGGTTGCTCTTTGAGAGGACTAACGTATTTGACCGATTGTGCATTCCCAATAGCGAAGAAATCCATAGCCTGATCTTGGGAGAATGCCACGACATAGAGGGTCATTTCGGTTGGCAAAAGACTCTGGCCAATCTAATGCACGCGTACGCCTGTGTTATGCTTCTGGTTGTTCGTTGCCTGATGGCCGACACTCACTCACATAAACTTCTGCACATGCCCATACACACACAGAAGGAAGGGGAGAGGATAGGAGTATCACACCGCACAGGGAGAGATAAACAC